AATCTATCAAACCAAATAAAGCTTCCCAAGGTATTTTCAGTCACAAGAGCAAGTTTTGGGAGAGGTATTTTTCTGGATCACATGGCTGAAAACCCAGGTCAAGAAGGAACAGACCTTTTTTATGTCAGTTGGGAATTAATGGAGTAATTGTGGGAAGCAGGTCATGATTAGCCAACTCCTGGGGTCCTACTAAAAGGAAAAGATTTATTTTCTGTTCACTGTACTCTTAGTAATCATCTGGCTACAGTCAGAACATGGGATAGCTCTGGAAGCTTGAGGGTTTGAGGCTTCAAATGGCTCTCACAGTGTTATTTCTGTTTTTTAACCAATGGTCATCTAATGTATAATGCATAAAATAGTCCAGGGAGCAAATAAGAAGGAATGCGACTGAAGCTCTGTGGGGATGGCATACAGATGGTAGCAGGGAAAAGGGAAGAAAATTCTGGATCCTAACTCCTATTCTTAATACCAGTTATCATTTTCATCTAATGACTATTTAATGCAAAATACATAAACAGTCTTGGCACCAGAACCTAGGATTATCCTCTTACAAACTGAATTTTCTCCTCACTGGACCACACAGTCACACTCCCTCTTGCCCTGTTTCTCATGCCATGACTTGCATTCCTTTCCAACCAGAAGCCCAGCTTCAAAAGGAGGGCTGAAGGATTTCTTTCACCCCTGGCCAGCACTGGTTGTTAGCCCCTATCCTGGGATGTAGGTGATGTGGGTTAAAACCCATTTAGGCTAGGGACAGACATTCAAAAAGAAATCCCAGAAATGCAGGTACATGCCTGCAGTGGCTCAGGCTAGAAACTATGGTGCACTAGAGCAGCTCTTCTTTCCCTTCCACACCGCTGAGCTGAGCAGGGGCATGGCCAGACCCTGGCAGGTTGCTCTAATACTTTAATTAGGGAAGGCTCCCCCCCACACCATCCTGACTAGCTCAGGAGGGAATTGATAACAAACACAGTGTTTATAACCCCTAACTTAGTGTTTATCACCCCATTAAGAAAACAACAGAGCATGGGAGAATGGTGCCTCCTGAGTTGGGGGGGCACTTGCCCCCCCAGTGGACAGTCTGCGACCAGAGGAGTGGGTCCCCCTGCAGCCGATCCCACAGACCGGGGGGGGGGGGGGGGGGGGGGGGGAAGGGGGGGGAGATCCCCATGGCCAATCCCGGTGACCTGCAACTGGCAGCGGCACCGCTGGCACTTTCAGGTCAGCAAGACTGGCTGCGGGGAGACTGCTTCTCCTGGCGCACTCCCTGGCCAGCGCTCTCAGCGGGGGCACCAGCACTCTCATCTGCTTCCCCTGCCCAGGAACGCTCCTCTCAGGGGGTGCACATGTACCCCCTATGCATCACCACTGTAACAAAGGGACATTACCAGCTACCTGTTGATTCTGCTTTGTCCCATCTGCCATTGCATGGACCATAGCCAGCATGTGGTCTGCTCACTAATGCTGAGAAGTGTCTGTGTAAGGTAGAGGAGACTGGGGAATCCCTGCTTAGCAAGGAGTAGGGATGGGAGGGGACGGGGGGAGCAGGGGAAAGCCAAGCAGACACCTGCAGTCTCTGCCAAGCTCCAGCCAGGGAGCAGAGGGGAGGGGCCAGCTCTGCTGTGGAGCAGAGAGCCCCACCCAGCCCAGCCCAGAGAGCATGCCAGGATGCTGAGGGAGTCTGGTTTAACTTAAACCAGCAAGGGGTCTGGGACAGACTTTGCATAAACTGGTTTGACCCAAATCAGTTAAGTCTGATACTACATTCAACCAGGTTTATCTCAAACCAGTTTCAGCCATTTTCAAACTGGTTTATGTGCACTGAACATCTGTTCTGTTACAGGTTTAAACCAGTTTCTGACCACTTAAACTGGTTTATGTGTAATGTCTGTCCCTAGCCTCAGGGCAAGATGGCCTAGTACTCCAAACCTTCTTCTTGGGCAAGTACCTGGACTACTAGGCAACAGTGGGCACCAGCATCAACTCTCCTTATGGTACATGAAATTCAAGGCTGCTATCAGTTACACAAACACTAGTAGCCTTCTCCTCTGAGACATTACCCAAAAAGGAACCTCCCCTCTTAGCTGGTCAGACAGGGCATCTATATATGTGATCTGGCGTGGAGGGGGAGTGGAGCACTTTAATTACAGCGGCTCTGAAAGCTGGTCTAATTAAAGTCCTTGCAGTGTCACATATTGAGCATCCCATGCTTCAAAATGGCGGCAGGGGCATTTTAACTAAAGCTCATTTGACGAGCTTTAGTTTAAAACACTCCCACCACCATTTTGAAATATAGGGACACTGAATATATGTGATGCGGAGGCTGCTGGAGTGCACTAATTAGCACACTGCAGCAGACTCATAACTGATTCAATAAAGTCTGCTCCGACATGTGCTAATTAGCAAGCATCGGAGCAGAAGTCCATCACACATATAGGTGCCCACCGAGCTGAACACTGACATGATGGAAGCAAGTCAGGCTACCTATAACTCTGTTCAGTAACAGTATAGTAGAGATATAAGTGCATCTTCCAGGGCAGGTTAGGTGACTAGGCTGCCCAGTGAAAGAATGGGAAACCTAGGCAAATTAGATGTGGAATAGAATCAGCTCTCCTGAAAGAGACACATACAAGTTTAAAAGAGAGAGGCAATTAAGTCTTAGTTACCTTTCAAGCAAAATAAGATCTAGGCCGATAGGGAAATGAACAGGAATAAAAGATACAGGATAAAACCATAAAATAAAAAAAGACAAATAATTACCCTCATAAAAGTATTTTTAATGGATTTAATTACTGTCTCCCTGAAAGTCTGTAGCTGATTAAGAGCTTGTTTGTTTTGTTGATACTGCTCCTCATAAAATTCATCCAAGGAATATGTGCGGGACCTATCCACCTGAAGCAATAGATAAAAATTAAGAGATAAGAATACCACAGACAATCAAAGGAAACTGGTTACTCAGATATGAATTTATCTTTGACCCACAACTCAGCACTCTATATATCAACATTACAAGAACCAGCCCCCTAAATACAAAGTGAACACAAAGACAAGAAGAATTGTCCCAGTGCAAGCCCTCCATAGAAAAGTGGTTTGAAATGAAAGTGCAATATAGACAGCACAAAACTACACACAGCACTGAAGATAGGGATAAGATGAGACTTGGTGGGATCGCATGCATGACTAGAACACTGTCATGGATGGCTACAAACTGTTCAGGAAAGACAGATGGGGAGAAGAGAAGGAGGATTTATGCTGTAGGTAAAAGAGCTGTATGACTGCTCAGAGCTCCAGTATGAAACTGGAGATAAGCCACTTGAAAGTCAGGTTAAGATTAGAGGGGAGAGCAACAAGGGTGATGTTGTGATGGGTGTGAGCTACAGACCACCAGATCAGGAGGATTAGGTAGATGAGGCTTTCTTCAGACAACCTGTAGAAGTTTCCAGATCACAGGCCCTGGTTTTCATGGGGAACTTCAATCACCTTGACATCTTCTGGGAGGCCAATATGGCAGTGCACAGGAAAAACACAAAGGTTTTGGAGAGCATTGGAGACAACTTTCTGGTGGAAGTGCTGGAGAGACCAACAAGAGGCCATGCTCTTCCTGACCTGCTGCTCACAAACAGGAAAGAATTGGTGGCGGATGTAGAAGTGGATGGTAACTTGGGCAACAGTGACCAAGAAATGACCAAGTTCAGGATCCTGACAAAAGGTAGGAAAGCAGCAGAGTATGGACCCTGGACTTCAGAAAAGAATACTTTGACTCCCTTAGGGAACTAATGGGCAGGATCCCCTAATAGGCCAGTCTGAGGGGGAAAGCAGTAGGGCAAAATAGTGTGCAAAGCTTCGGTCACTGATTTGATTCAGTGGAGATTGGGCCTGATTTGGCGGCTGAATCTCCAAATCCAAATCAAATCAGAATGACACTTTAATCTCTCAGAATCAAATCAGAACCCTCCGAATTGATTTGGAGAGATTCAGAGAGATTCGATGATTCGGACATAGACACAGCTTTAAATGCTTTTTCTACATACCTCAAGATAACAGGCGGTTCATGAATGCTGAGATGCTGGGGCGGATAGAGCATCCCACAGGAGCATGGGGGGGGGTCCCCAGCATGCTTGGCAGCAGACCTGGAAGTGGACCAGAAGTACTTCTGGTCCACTTCTGGGTCCGTTGGGGAGCGTGCGGGGGACACCCCTCCCACCCCGGGGACTGGTGCCTCCTGGGTCTGGGAGGGCATCCAGGGTCCCCCCGCAGCCAATCACTGAGCTGGCAGAGCATGGAAGGTGTCCCTGGCGTGCTTGGCTGTAGACCCGGAAGTGGACAGGAAGTACCTCCAGTCCACTTCCGGGTCTGTCACTGAGCATACAGAGGGCCACCCCACACTCCTGTGTGAGGCTCCATCCACCCCAGCATCACAGCACTCATAAGCTGCACCTGATATCTCGAGGTATGTAAAAAACAAAAAACAAAACATTTAAAGTTGTGTCTATGGCTGAATCGCTGATTCTCCAAATCTTCAGATTCAGATTCGGCCAAATCAAATTGGGACAGTGATCAAAATCAATTAATTGAATCACTGTCCCCGATTTGGGCCGAATCTGAATCCAAATCAAATACGGCCTGTTTCACACATCCCTAGAAAGCAAACCAGGAGAGCTCGATGTATTTTAAAGAAACATTACTGAGGGTGCAGGAACAAACCATCCCAATGTGCAGGAAGAATAGAAAATATGGCAGGGGACCAGCTTGGCTTAGCAGAGATCTCTTCAGTGAGCTTAAGCACAAAAGGAAGCTAAACAGAAGTAGGAGCTTGGACAGATGACTAGGGAGGAATATAAGGATATTGCTCGGGCATGCGAGGATGAAATTTCATAGATTTCTTAGACATTTGAGCTGGAAGGGACCTCGGAAGATCATTGAGTCCAGCCCCCCGCCCAAAGGGCAGGAAGTCAGCTGGGGTCATAGGATCCCAGCAAGATAAGCATCCAATTTGTTCTTGAAGGTGTTCAGAGTAGGTGCTTGAACCACCTCTGATGGCAGGCTGTTCCAGACCTTGGGGGCTCCGACAGTAAAGAAATTCTTCCGTATGTCCAGCCTGAAACGGTCTCACAGTAGTTTATGACCATTCCACCTCGTCATCCGTTGGGGTGCTCTGGTGAACAAATGTTCCCCCAGATCCTGGTGGTCACCCCAATAAACTTATAGGTGGCCATCAGATCGCCCCCGAGCCTGCGCTTTTCCAGGCTAGAGAGCCCCATGGCTGTCAGCCTGTCATCATAAGGTCTGTTTTCCTGACCTCTGATCATGTGTGTGGCCCTTCTCTGGACTCTCTCAAGCTTCTCCACATCTTTTTGAATTGTGGAGCCCAAAACTGGACAGAGTACTCCAGTTGCAGCCTCACCAAGGCTGAGTACAAGGGGAGAATGACGTCCCGGGATTTGCTTGAGAATCATCTATGGATGCAAGCCAGTGTTTTGGTCGCTTTAGTAGCCGCAGCATCGCATTGAAGGCTCATGTTCATTTTGTGGTCAATGATGACCCCCAAGTCTCTTTCAGGAAGGTCAAAGTGCAACTGGAGTTACAGCTAGCAAAGGACATGAAGGGCAACAAAAAGGGTTTCTACAAGTGCGTTAACAAGAGGTAGGTTAGGGAAAGTGTGGGTCCCTGACTAAATAGGGGAGGCAACCTAGTAACAGATGGGGAAAAAGTTGAAGTATTTAATGCCCTTTTTACCTCAGTCTTCACAGGCAAGGTCAGCTCCTAGACTACTGCACCAGGCAGCACAGTTTGGGGAGAAGGTGAGAAGCCCTCAATGGTGAAAGAACAGATTAGGGACTAATTTAGAAAAGCTGGATATATACAAACCCATAGGGCCAAGTGCAATGCATCCAAGGGTGCTGAGGGAGTTGACTGATATGACTACAGGGCGCTTGGCCATTATCTTTGAAAACTTGTGCCGATTGGGGGAGGTCCCAGACACCTGGAAAAGGCAAATATATTGCCCATCGTTAAGAAACTGAAGATGGAGGACCCAGGTAACTACAGACCAGTCAGCCCCACCTCGGATCCTGGAAAAATCATGGAGCAGGTCTGCAAGGAGTCCTTTCCTAAGCACTTGGAAAAGAGTCATACCTGACCAACCTGATTGCTTACTATGATGCGATAACTGGTTATGTAGATGTGGGAAAAGCAGTGGACGTGACATACCTTGACTTTAGCAATACAAAAAACTAAAACTCTTGGTCCCAAAATGATACCTTTTATTAGACCAACTGGAAAATGGCAAGAAAACTGTCCTTTTCTAAAAGCTTTCAGGATCAAAGTCCCTTCGTCAGGCTCTGGGAAAAGTATAGATGGTACAAGATGGTAAAAAGACCCCATAGGTAGGAAATAAACTTCATTTTTGCACAGAGGGAGCTGAAGGTAGAAGGCTGTCCCTCTGGGTCCATGACAGTGTCTTTGTGAACTGTGTTGAGTAGCTCTTTGATGTGTTGTTCAGGTAGAATTCCTTCCCTGGAGGTGCCTGATGCAGGCAGGGCAATGAAAATAGTAAGGATGCTGACTTCTGAGGACAGGCTGAGGGAACTGGGCGTATTTAGTCTGCAGAAGATAAAACTAAGGGGGAATTTGATAGTAGCCTTTAACTACCTGAAGGGTGGTCCCAAATAGGATGAAGCTCAACTGTGTTCAGTGGTGACAGATGACAGAACAAGGAGCAAGTTGCAGCAGGGGAGATTTACATTGGATATTAGGAAAAACTCTCTCACTAGGAGGGTGGTGAAGCACTGGAATGGATTACCTAGAGAGACAGTGGAATCTCCATCCTTAGAGGATTTAAGGCCCGGCTTGACAAAACCCCAACTGGAATGACCTAGTTGGGGATGGTCCTGCTTTGAGCAGGAAGATGGACTACATGACTTCCTGAAGTCCCTTCCAACCCTAATTTTCTAAGATTATATGACAAGGAGTTGGAATTGAGTGCAGAATGACATGCAGCACCAATAAATAGGGACCTACTCAATTTGCAGTTTTGTGGACATCATGAAATTGGGCAATATCTGTGAAATCTGTGGGGGAAAAAACTGACTAAAAATCAAATGCTGGTTCCCCAGTGGAAGGCAGCAGTCCTCATGGCTGCTGCGGCCTGGTTGCTTAC